AGTTGAAATATTGGCTCTTCACACTTTCTACAACTTCGAGGTATTAACTGATGTTTCAAAATATTTCAGTCTGCCATCTTACTGTAATTCAACATACAATTAGGTAAGCAATTGTTTTCGGATCATTAAAATCATAATTACTTTGCATCAAAATAAACAATCATGTAACAGGTTTTATTTTGATTTTAGCCGATCAAGAGGAAGGCGACTGAAGCTATAAGACGGTTAGTCAAAAAAAGATTTTTGTAAACCACCGAAGAAACAGCGAAGCAGATTGTCAAACTTAACGCAAGCTAAATTGGCTTTAGTTATGAGCCGAATTATTTATATTAAAAAAAATCAAAAAACAAAAAAAGAACAACTTTAGATTAGCGAGGTAAAATTGTGCAATAGTTTTATATTAACAATAATATTGAACTAGTTCTCTGAAAAGTAGTCTGCATTTCATAAATACTAAAAAAATCATAAATAATTTCATAGATCTTGTTGATCATCACTAATATTGTTTAATTACGATAAATGTTGAATTTTAACCAGTAGTTTCCTGGTCCCATGGTAATGTAAACTCAACACATTTTATTGGGAAGAAAACACACCCTAGGCACAGTTCTTAAGATTTTAAATGAAATAATTTGATTAGTTGATTGAGTGAATGATTGATTTGTTGATTTATATGTTTTAGTTGAACAATCAGTCTTTTTGACTTGATAGATTGAGTTATGTAATTACTTTGACATTGAGAATATTCCACATTATATTTAGTGTTTGTAGTTGTGTTTAATAAACAAATAATTATATTTGGTTTGTAATTGTGTTTTATTAAATAAATAATTTAGTAGATGTTATAATTCTCGTGTTTGTTTTTATTTATTTCTACCAACATAATACATGCCGACAGATGGCAGTTGGTTTTGTAAACAAATAACTCTTTAAAAAGTTGCTTTCGATAAAAGCATATTATAATATGTTCCTGAGAGTAAATTATATTATTTAATTATTATTTAATTGTAATTCAATGTTATATTCTGGACAATTCACTTTAGGTTGTCTTATATAATAAAGTAAAAAAATAGGGTGTAGTCCTTCAGAAGTCAATAAGCTCGTAGATGCTTTGGTTTATATCAGTTTCTTTCAGGGCTATTGGCAATCACAGTTAATCCATTTAAATTAACTTGGTCCCTTTGATACCGCTGTGTAGATTGAAGCAATAGCTAAGACGCCTTGCGTAGGACACAAACAAAGCGAGAGAATGAAACCGAGACCGCCGCCATCGATGGTAACTAACCCATTTCCACTGGGCCATACCGCTTCTATGTTTAATATAGTAGGGTTACTATTCAGTTATTAACAATTTAAGAGAGCTATTTAACTTGTAATTATTTTTAATAAATATTATTTTTGTAACATTTTAAGATAGGGCCCTATACTAATTAATTAATTGAATAGGCCTATGTAACCTAGACATACAGTAAAATCACTATTAAGGGCCACATTCTGGACCAAAAAGTGTCCCTTTAATATGGGTGTCCCCAGAATCCCTATGTAGGGGACACTCCTATTCAGGGGAAACTGACCAAAAACGCAAAATTTCTCCCTTAATAGGGGTTTTTGTTATGTCTTCATACAGTGATGACATTATATTCTGTATAATCTTAATTTTATTGACATAAGAATCAGCTAAGTTAGAATTAGAACTAATTGAGAGCAACAGTCATGCAAATACAATTCATATATTATCTGAAATCAACGCTAATGTAATTAAAACAACAATAGATATATGTCTTTTAGAATAATGACAAAATGACTATTACTGTTTATTTTTGGTAAATATTTTTCATTATTGCCATCACGTTTTTGTGAAAAGTTGTTGGCCCTAATCGTCAGAGGTAAAGGTGCCTGCAGCCTTCACGTTTCATATATTCGACTTCAAACACTCAATTTTACATGATTTCCAAATATCGAAAGGTCCACTGATTAATCTCTGATAAGATAGTATAATACATATACTTACTCCAAGTATCGAAAGCACGCCATCATGTCGGGAGGGATTCAATAATTATACAGTATCATCATCAGGAGTCAGTGGCGTAACAGGTGGGATGCAGGGGGAGATGGTTCCCCTGAGGGTTTTTACTAGGCTGACCAAGCCGGGGTACCTGTCTGGGTAATAAGAAAAAAGAAAGAGGGGGAGTGAGGGAAAGAGAAAGAAGAAAAGGAAAGGAAAGGGAAAAGAAAAAAAGAAGAGAAAACTAAAGACAAGAATAAATAGTAAGATATCATAATGACCAGACTCACAACACCCTGCAACCCTTTCTCCATTTCAAAAAGTGTTCATAGCTCCCTTGATTTAAGCCGCCAAATATTCTCTGCAGTGGCGTAACCACCAGAGGACAAGGGAAAAAAATATCCATGCGGAAAATTTTACCCACCCTTTGAAGATGCCCTTTTCACCCCCTGAAAGTGGCTAAAAAAAATGTGCGGGCTTCGTACGCAATTTTTGCTTAAGTAGGCCAGTTTCCTCTAAAAATTGCATATTTTAGGGAGTTCTGTCCAATTAGAATTAAAAACTATTATGTGTTTAAATAACTTGAAAGGTAATCATAAAAAAGCCCTAAAAAAAATTTAAAAAAAAAAGTGCGCGAAGCGAGCAAACAAAATTATAATTGAAAAAAATATATATATGTTTGCTCGCTTAGTACGCTTTTTTTTTTTTTTTTTTTTTTTTTTAGGATTAGCTTTTTCAAACGTGTGTGGCTTTTATTATCAAGGGCGTCGGAAACGGTCCGGCTGGTCCGGTTTTGGCCTGACGAAATCAAACATAACTTGCACAATCATTCTGCATTTTAACAATATGGAACAAATTTTAAATGATTTTATGTTATACATGTAATTAATATTCTAGCCCCGAAATCTATACTCAAAAGTACTGAGATGGCGTCCGGCGGGGAATTTTATTTCATTTTGTTTTATTTCAACTATGTTAAAGAGATAGCCATTCCAAATTCCCAAAAACGGGACTAATG